AATCTTACTGTTCTTCTGGGTTTGAAATCCATTGCAATAGCTCACACAACACAAGGAACTATATTTATGATTATCGAGTTTATTAGGGAAGGTAACAGGATACTATTTCAATTGATAACACCATACAAAATCCCAGTCAGGACAGCTTCCAAAGTATGCTAACAGGCCTTTCAGCCCTCAGATTCATAGCTTTAGGTCAGTGATACAAAGCTTTAGTCGTTGTTGTGTACCATTGAGTTGGAATCAACCCATACTTAATCTTCCAGGGGTTTTTTTAGAGGCAGTTAATCACATCGGAGGAGATTATCCAGCATTCTCCCATGAAGCACCTGGTGGATTTGAACCGTGTGCCTCTGGGATTGCAGTGCAACTTCTTACTATTAGGCCACCTGCCAATTATGGTTCCCCTGAAGTCTTCCAGCAAACTTGGGTGAAGGCTCTTAGCTCGGGTTCCAGGTGTAGCAGTCCTAGATGAGCTCTGTGTCATGTTAGCTTTCTGCTTCTCTGCTGGAGTGCTGCCGCTCTCCTGTAGGTCTAGCTTGCACAAGAACTCTGGTTCTTCTCTGCTGGTGGGAAAAGTATCACAATCTGCTGCTGGATCTACTCAGTTTGGTGGGGAGACCAGCTAATCTCCTTGTGAATAGGCTGACACACCCTATTTACATATTCCCACCCATCCACATGGCAGAATCAAAGTCAATGACTAAGAAAGCCATTTTGAACCCTTAGCACCACATAATGTAGATTTGTTAAGTATGTAATTCACTTGTTTTTCTATTGTGTTCATGCCTAGGAAAGGCCACATGATGTCATTCATTCCTCTGGCAGGTAACCAGGGTCAGGAGAAAGAATTTCTTCTCACCCTTCTTCCTGTCGTCCACTACTCATATAAAATCTTATGGTTTTTCTCTCTCAGATTCTGGGATTTGAGCATCTGATCAACCTCTCAGAAGGTGTGCATTACTGTTTGTTAGTGCTTCTCCAAGGTCTTGATTAGTTTTCTGTTTCTATTTCTGCTGCTATTCCAATCCCTTTATCTGCCAGTTTGGGGTCCAAATTAGTACAAAATTATAAAAGTTCACTGAGAAACATAAAACCTGAGACACCCCTAAAGGACAGAGTTCTCAGTCCTCCTCCTTAGCTGGTGTCTAGACTATTGTTACTCCACCCATGATCTAGTGCAACCTGGAAGGCCAAACCTAAGATGACTGAGTCAGAATTTGCCTTTTAATGAGTTCTCCAGAGTCTCACAGGCAAGGTAAGGTTTGGGAAGCACTGATCCAGTTGTGACTTGTCTAACCATCATGGTTTTCCTCAGGTGATGAGTAAACATTTTAAAGTTTGAGCCTCACTCTTGTCCAATCAGGATGGCTTGGCTGCAGAATCCTATGATATAGAAGACAAAAACATCTTTCAAAAGGTGACAGTAGAATTGACAGGTATTTGAGGCTTCTGATTTGACATAAAGGAAAGAATACCATGGACAGCACTCCAGTACTCTTACGTGGAGCTGAAGAGTCTGCATTTAGCAGAAACCCAATAGGCCACTGTTTGAAGACTCACTTGAATTTCAATCCTAGCTCTAGTATCATTTAGTTATGAATATTTTTATTATATTGTTGTTGTCTTGTGCCATTGAGTCGCTTGCGACTCATAGCAGGTCCTATATACAACAGCCTGTTCTATCCTGAGCCAACCTTATTGTCTCTGACTCACTTACCCCCATTTCCCCAGTCACTGAATCACTCCATCTCATTGAGGATCTTCCTCTCTTGCACTGTCCCTCCACCCTCCCAAGCGTGATGTCCCTCTCCAAGGACTGGTCCCTCCTTGCAATATATACAAAATATGTCAGATGAAGCTTCAGAATCCTTGCCCCCAGGTAGCAGCCTGCTTTCACCCTCTCTAGGATGAACCTCTTTGTTCATGGTATATTCAATACTCCAGCACCATAGCTGAAAGGCATCAATTCTCCTATCATACCTTGTCATTGTCCAGCTTTCTGTCACCTAGCAAGTAATTGCAAATACTAAAGCCTGGATCAGGTGCACCTAAGTCCCCAGACTAACATAGTTGCTTTTCAGTACTTTGGAGAGGTCTCTGGTAGCAGACTTTGCCAATACAATTAATCTTTTAATTTCCTGTCTGCTGGTACCAAGAGTGCTGATTGTGAAGCCAAGCAAACTAAAGCTGTTAATCCCAGTTTCTTCTCTGTCTATTATGATGCTGCCAATTGGCCCAGTGTTGAGAATCTTTGTTTTCTTCATGTTGAACTTCAATCTATATTGAAGGCTGCAGTCCTTGACCTTCTGCAGCAAGCACTTCAGGTCCTCCTCAGTTTCAGCAAGCAGGGTTGTGTCATCTGCATAATAGATTGTTGATGAGTCTTCCTCCAATCCCGATGCCACATTTCTCCTCAGAGTCCAGCCTCCCGGATGATCTGTTCTGCATATAGATGGAAAAGGTATGGACATGGGACACATCCCTGGCATATACCCTTCCCGATTTTGAATCATGCAGTGTTTCCTTGCTCTGTTCTGACAACTGCCTCCTGGTCCAAGTATGGCATAAGCAAGATCAAGTGTTCTGGGATTCCCATTCTTCTCAGAATTAGCCACATTTTGTTGTGATCCACACAGTTCGATGCCTTTACATAGTCAATGAAACACTGACATTCTACTGGTACTCTTTGCTTTCAGCCAAGATCCATCTGAAATTAGCTGTAATATCCCTAGTACTATGACTTTTTCTAAACCTAGCCTACACTTCTGACAGCTCTTTGTTGATGTGCTGTTCCAGTCATTTTTGGATAATTTTCAGCAGGATCTTCCTTGTATGTGATATTATTTTGTTCAATAATTTTTGCACTCTGTTGGGTCACCTTTTTTTGGAATGGAAACAAATATAGCTCTCTTCCAGTCAGTTGGCCAGGTGGTTGTCCTCCAGATTTATTATATTATTTTTATTATTATTACTATTTGTTTAGTGATTATTTAAAAATGAATTTATTCACAATCAATAAGAGTGCATCTAAATTCCAAAATCAATCTCCATAATAGTCTATGTGTTTCCTACTGCCAAAGGGGCCCTTTAGAGTAGTGAGA